GTGTTATAAGTTGGAAGATTATGGATTGATCTCCCCTCCTCAACTCATTGATTGGATTTGACCAGTGGTTTATTCATGTGGCCATACATCCTCCTTCCTGTCGTACCTGTGGCCCAATCATTCATCCACTCTTCCTAGGTTAAAAAAAAATAGTTTCAAAGACTGCAATTGTGTTGGAAGTGTTTCTATTTATTCAAACGAAACAAATAGTAACCCATTATGCTTGTTTTTTGCTGTTTTTTTCTTCTCTTGCTTGCATACAGACGGAAATGAAGCGGAAATACTTCAAAATCGAAAAGAAAGTGGTTAATCCTGGTGAGTGGGACAACATGGAGATGAGCTTACCATTATTTCCGTTGTTTTTCTTTTTAAAACTGATTGGTTTTTAAATCTTTTACGATATTGTGTACTGCCTTTTAAATTTTTAAAAATTGTTTGCTGTTTTGGCTGCTGACAATGTTGTTGTTGTTGTTGTTGTTGATGATGATGATGTTGTTGTTGTTGTTGTTTTTGTTGTTGTCGTTACTGCTGCTGGTGCTGTTCTCTTTCCTCTAAAAGGGACGACGATGTCACCGATGACAACGACGGCGACGACGACGACGACGACGACGACGACGACGATGATGATGATGATGATGATGATGATGATGATGATGATGATGATGATGACGACGACGACGAAATGTTATGACATAACTGCAGTCATTCTTGTTTCTACTCATCCAGTTTCGAATCTGCGAGAGGCCAGCACTCAAAGCACAGTGGATAAAGAACTGTCTAGCTCAGAGGAGTTCTCCGACAGCGTTATGAAGGTCTTTGAGAAAACAACCTTCCTACAGCGCTTGACTGAGGAGGAGGTGATCACTAGGAGTATTATAGAGAATAATAATATATTTCTTTGTTTCTGTCTACATACGGATGGGCCCAAGATTAGAGGTGTTACAAGAGAGTAACAAACGTATACATGTACCACTCTATCACCCAACCACCCTGCCGCTCTACCATCTTACCACACAACCGCATAAACGTACGCAGCCGCACGCACGCAAGATGCAGTGACACTGAAAATCTGCGAATCTTGAACAAAAAGCTAAAACATAGAGACATAGAAGTGGGGGGGGGGGGGTAATCATTAGTACTGCAATAGATCACATCTACCACTCGTACATATATATATATCAACTTACTCAGATGGTTGACGAGTGCTCTCGTGTTGTTTGCTCCTTCTTTCCTATATAGCATTTTGCTGATCTCTCATTTTTTTGTGTTATGTGTTTCATGGTAGGCACATACATTCGCACGCATACATACACATAATAATACATATGTTAATAATATACATGTACATTATATGAAATGTGTAATGATTTTTATATTAATATACTCATTTCCAAAAGAAACTTGAAATAAAAAATCGTGTTAAATAAAACATAAGCCTTGGCAGACACAGGGACAAAATTTTACATCTAAAAAGAAGAAGCATTTCTGAACTTGAAAACCTGTATTTTAATGCACATAATACACACCTGGTGCTTCAAGCCCCACCTGAAGCGATAGGATCCAAATTTTAAAAATCAGAAAATGTGCATTTTTCCAACAAGAAACTTTACATTGACATACTGATCCAAAATTATGGTTTTCGAAACGTATGATAGCAAAGCACACTGGTACTGGTCAAATCAAAAGCATTTCAGGTAATGTCTGAATTAATATCATGTGTGACTGTCGCATGCAGCAATGACAGCGCGGCATCTGCGCCTCATAGAGTTGACGATGTTGGAAATTTGATGTGGGATAGCGTTCCAAGCGTCGGTTGGGCTTTGAATCAACTGAGCGTTGTTCTGAGGAGCGGGATTCATCTCTTGGATTAGAGGGCCCAAGAATATCCCACACATGTTCAATCAGGTTCATGTCGGGTGATACTGCTGGCCAGGGATGGTTGAAACCGAATTGTTGTTGTGTGAGGAAAGCTTGGGTCACCCTGGTACGATGGGATTGAGTGTTGTCCTGACGTAAGGTGTAGCCTGGATGGTTCTGAACAAACAGTGCCACATGTGACTGCAAGATGGTGGCTACGTTATTGGCGCCCTTCTATGCTGTCGGAGCATGCATCAGTGCCGTCCTGAAATCTGTTGTGATTCCACCCCAGACCATACCTGCCCATATCCCCGGTTAGGGATTTCATGTACACACTGGTCAGCAAACCTTTCATTTCGACGGCGATATACCCGCACTCGACCAGTGTAGCGACCTAGGACAAATCTATAGACTCATCCGTTAAAAGGACCTGAGACGAATAACTGTCTGTGTGCTCACTGGTTGGTGTTGCGGGAGGGTTCTGACTGTATGCGAAGCAGACTGGAACTTTGTCCTTCAGGTGGGTGGTGCATACCGATCCTCTGCCGGGGTGGTTACCCGCGGCCTCCCTGATCTTGGCCGGTCTCTGGTACTTTCTGTGTTCCTGTACCTGGTCTGCCGATGGTTTCCCTTCTACAGTTAAAAATCCTTGCCACATCCGCCAGGGGAACGCCTGCCTCGAGATACCCAACAGCGCGCCCCGACGCTTCATTGAAAGTCGACAATTTTCTAGATTTCCGAAGCTCACAGTTCAAATGCAAACAATGTTTTCATAAACTTATTACACACATTTTGTAGGTTTTGAAATAAGCTACACATTGATAGCAAAGACAACACAGAAAACGCATGCTTAACAGAATAAAAAGTAAAAAAATGAAATCATACTGAACACACAGAAGTGAGTGAACTCACTTAGTTGTGTTGTCAAAATTGATTCAGAAGACAGTAAAACCAACACACTGCACTGTACATAAATATCATCATTATCCGTTTTGATTTAATAATATAATCTTCAAAGAAAATGTGTCAAGTTTCTTTTGGAAAAGAGTATATAATTGTATTATTCATATAGGAGTATATAAGAGCACAGTTAGCATTCACCGAAACACTATACCTCTTATCAATAAAATTGTGCACGTATGTCTATCTTTAACTTTAAGGTTTTTTCTTACCCGCAATCTCAATCATTTTTTTTTCTCCTTTCAGAAAAATCTCTTCTCCTCAGAAATTGAACGCTGTGTGGATGGACTCCGTACCAAACCAAGTTAAACACCTGGCAGACTCAAGTCAAACTGGGACAATTTTTGTCTATGTTCGTTTTCTTAATTCATCTAATTTTTTTTTGTCCGTTAGGAGTCATTGTAACGATATTGTATTGTATGGGTTTAAGGGGGGTGGGGGGGGGGGCTACACCCCCCCAAAGCCCCGATCCGGCTCAAAATATGGAATTTGAGTTGTAGGCATTTTCAGCTTCCCCAGCCTCTCCTACAACTATTTCATCGCATAAGAACCCCCAAAAACCGTATTTTTTCCCCATACCGGACATGTTTATCACCTCCATTTCCTCACAAAGTCAATATTTTGTTTTTCTTTCCGGCCGTTTTCTCAAAACGCAACTTTTCTCTATACTTTTTTGAATAACTCCACCATTTTGCATCCAATCTCCATGATATTTTCACAGAATGAAGAGAAGATGTCATACTAAAAATTTCTTTGTTGAATTTTTTATATTTGGAATAGTTTTTTGTTGGTGGTGTCATGAGTGTGGATTTTCACGGATTTTTGCAAACTTGAATGGTACCTCAGAAAAAAATTCATTAGAATTTTTAAAATTCGTTTAGGAAAAAAAAAACAGACAAATTTTTAGATCTAATGTTTGTTAACACGCCTGCAAAAACAACAACAAAAAAACAATCAATTTCCATGAGCAGTAAGTGCGGTATTCATTACGTAAGACAAGTCAACAAAATCCAATATGGCCGCGGTATCCATGGAAACGAAACTTTTTCTCAAATTTGATGGCGGTTTTTAAGACTCCTTACTATGCTTGTTATACGTGTGAAATTTGGCAAAATTCAGTTCAGACTGACTTGTGCAATTATCTTATGAGTATGAGCGTAATGATCTAGCATCTGCGTTTGTTGTCATTTTTTTGTCCAAAATTTGCCGAAAGTTGCTACAAAAAATGGCAAAAGTTGCCATAGAAGTTGCCATTAATTTTCAAGTGTTCAACTCTCTGCGACGACGTATATACATATAGCAACAATATGTTGATAGAGGTAACTTAGTCCAAAGCACCAGCATTTCTTGTGCTCTGTTTGGGGTATCTAGAATATGTGAAGCGTGCTGACAAAATGAGTTACTTCTCAGATTCAAGCCTTAAGGAAATAGATATATCACTCTTACAGGTAAAATTGTAACAATTTATAAGTATGAAATAATAAAAGGCATGTTATAGTTTAAGAATATGGCACCAATAGAAAATCTACAAATTTGACCCTAATGTCTATTTTTGGCCAATATCTCCATTCGTGGATTGCGAGAAGTAACTCATTTTGTCAGCATGCCTAACATATCATTTGTAGCCACACGACATAGTTTAAAAACAGTAAAAACGAAGGTTTCACAACAGAATGAAAATTTAAATCAAAATAAGAAAAGCACAGAAACAACCACAAAAAGTAACAAATAAGGGCGTGTGTCCACCTATCCGAAGATTGGCCATTTTAACCCTAAATAGGTGTAATTCCAGAAAAAGTACAGGATATTAGCATGTCGTGAATTATTGAACCACACACAAGGGACCTGCCTGTGTCAGCATTCGGTTTTTGGTGAGGACACGCTCTAATATAACACATTAATTTTTTTGAAATGTAGGAACAACATCATATTAAATGGTACAGTGTATTATGCAAAAACAACGGGAATACACACACACAAAAAAGAAAAACAACACATCAGAACAATTTTTTTTAAAAATTAACACACCAACAAATTAATACACAACAATTTAAAGAAGAGAAAGTAAAAGACAAGCAGCAATAGGCCTATACATGTAGATGCTAGAATGATATTGAATACTGGTTGCTTGACTCTTCTAATCTCACCATCGTTTAATTGGTATCAGGAAACACCCCCCCCCCCCAAAAAAAAACCCCCACAAAAAAACAAAAACAAAACAACAACAACAACAACAACAAACAAACAAACAAACAAACAAACAAAACAAACAAACAAAAAAGACCAAACAAAAAAACCTCTTGTTGCTTATATTGTCTTATACATATTATTATTTTGTCAGTCATTGCATTTATAATGTCTGATTGTATTCCTTTTTTTTTCATTTTAGACTCAAATTTATATTAAAAACTATTCCAACATTTTTTTGGGGGAAAAGTGTAACTTTCAGTAAACCATTATTCTTTTATGATAGACAAGTAGTGTAGCATATAAAGGGAATACGTTTCAGTTTTCAGTTCCGAAAGAACTTTACGGCTCTTGCTAAAAGGAATTAATAGATAATTATTGTGCCCCATGTGAGACCCTATCCCCACAGTTTACATCATTTAGGAGTTGGAACGTTTCGGAACCATTACCAAAGCTGACCTGGATGTTAGGGTACAGTAGGTCAAGAGAAAGACTATTATACTCGACTTAATAACCATCAACAGGCTTGTCTCAAACTCGTGTCTTTCAGGTACCACAGCGAAGAGCCTAACCAATACAAAAAAGATGAAGGTTGTTTTTCTCCTGAGAATTTCCATTTATTGCATATCTCAAATAATTATGAGCCACATCTGTGAAAATTCTTTAAAAATCCCACAGACAGCTTAAATTCGTTCTTTTAATGTACCGGTAGGTGTTTTACGCCACTGAGGTACATTGTATCGGCGTTCCCTTATTGTACAAAGTGACGGGCCTTCAAGTAGGAGATCTACGAAAGTCTAAACAAATTCAATATTGGTTGCTTGACTGTTCTCATAATGCCATCTTGTAACAG